TCCTTGTATTCCTATTCTTTCTAAGACCTTTATCACGAAGGGGTGTTGGATTTTGTCAAAGGCTTTTTCAGCATCTAGGGAGATGATCATGTGGTTTTTTTCTTTCAGTTTGTTTATATGGTGTATTACATTGACTGATTTCCGTATGTTGAACCATCCTTGCATCCCTGGGATGAATCCTAGGACTGCATCAATTTTGAACAATGCAAGAAACACTACATTTCAGAGATTTGTTGGAGATTCAAAATACTACCAAATTAATATTTGGGCAAGATGTCTAGAGTGAACACTGCTGATCAGGTGTTCTGAACTACTATGCTGTGTCGTGACAAAGAACTCCTGAAGGAAGGAATCTCAGCCTTCCTAGTCACACCCCACCTTTCCTCCTGGCAAAGGCATCAACCCATGTGTGACTGTCCTAGAGCCTGTGCAGAAACTGGTGCGGAATGGGGAAAGGAGCATGATGTGAGAGCACGGACCATGCACCTGATAAAGCCACCAAATTCACTAGCTTTGAACTAAAAAAGAAATGGGGGTGGGGGCTGGATAGATTAGTGGTAGAATGTGCTTAGCATGCAAGGTCCTGGCTTCTATCCTGAGTACTAAAAATGGGTGTGTGTGGGGGCGGGGTAGGGAAAATACGCAAAGCACTAGACAATTTGGAAGGGTTGTTAAGTGCTGGTTATATAGGTTTTTCTAGCAGGGGTATTGGAAACCAGACTCAGTACTCCACATACATGAAATAGCGGTTTCATTTAAGGCAAAAAATGCACTTGAAATTGGCATAAAAGATGAAGGATCTGGTCTGATAGGATGTGTCTAGAGTGCGCAGGGAAATCACACACACACACCCCCCCAAAAAAAAAAAACATGAAGGAAGGAGGAAAAGTTACTCAAGCAGATTTGAATACACCTTTGTCATAGCTTTCTGGATACTGAGAAGCCAGTGAAAAGACTAGTTAAAATGAATTTGTGACTTTCAGAGTAAATATTACTTTGCTTTATAACCAAGACAAGTACTAGTAAAACTACAGAAAAGATGTTTATTCAGTATGAACACAGATTTTTTTTAATTGTAACATAAATTTGCAACTTATACTTAACCATTGGCTTTAATTTTTAAACTAGCACTTAAGGAAATCAGAAGTGCATTTGATTTATTTAAAAAAACAGAAGACAAAAGTGATGTTCTTGAGAATAATTGGAAAAGAGAAGAAATCCCAGTGGATTATAAAACTACAGATGATCACAAAACCAAGGACAAGTGTTCACTTAAAGAAAGAAACACTAGAGATGAGACGGACACTTGGGCATACATCGCTGCAGAAGGCGATCAGGAAGTTTCAGACAGTGGATGCCAAACAGATGAGAATTCTGGTGAGTTTGCTTGCGTTGTTCAGTAGAGTAACATAGGAGTGTTGCGTGCCCCATATTATCTACTCTTCCCTCAGAATGTTGTAAAGATTTTATTTGGATCTCCTGAATAACTTAATATTGAAGACTTAGGTCATTCTTTGACATCTAAATGCATCAAATATTTTCTAAGTTCTTATAATACACTTACTATAAAGATTTCTATTTTCTAGCTTAATTTTTTAATCTTGAGATTTTATTCCAAAAATGATCAGATCAAAACTATGCATGGTGACACTGGCCCTCAGAGGGTAGTGGCAAGAGGACTGAGAATTGAAGGTTATCTGCAGCTCCCTAGGGAATTAATTCAAGGACAATGTAGCTGCACTCAGCATCCTCCTATCTCTACCTCCTGAGTGTTGGGACAAGAGATACGCGCCCTCACTCCCTGCCCTGTATTTTTAACTTTGTAGAAAATAGGAAATATAAGTGAGACTGTTGTAAATGTTATCCTGGGAACATTTTGAGAAAAGGGGAGGTCTTATGTAGAATACAAAATACAGAAGCTATGGGAAGGAGGAATTTAGATGTGTACCTGTATAATAAGTATAAATGAAGTAGCTTGGTTTTTTTGTTTTTGTTTTGTTTTTTCAAGACAGGGTTTCTCTGTGTAGTTTTGGTGCCTGTCCTGGAACTCACTCTGTAGATCAGGCTGGCCTTGAACTCACAGAGATCTGCCTGGCTCTGCCTCTTGTGTGCTGGGATTAAAGGCGTGTGCCACTGCCACCTGGGGAGATACCTTCATTTTATGTGGACTTGTATAATCTGTGAATGTCAAGGAATAGATGTTTTTCCTTTTTTGTTTTTGTTTTTCAAGACAGGGTTTCTCTGTAGTTTTTTATGCCTGTCCTGGATCTCGCTCTGTAGACCAGACTGGCCTCAAATTTACAGGACTGGGATTAAAGGTGTGCACCACCACTGCCCTGTGATGTTTTTCTTTTAAATTTTTTTTTTTTTTTTGGTGACAGGGTCTCACTACATAGCCCTGGTTGGCCTGCAGCTGCTGTGTAGATGAAGCTGGGCCTAAAGCTCACAGAAATCCTCCTGTCTCTGCATCTCAAGTTCTGGGATCAAAATACCTAGTCTTATTATTGAAAAAAAATTTTTTAGAATTATTTGTATGAGTGGTTTTGTGTGTGTGTGTGTGTGTGTGTGTGTGTGTGTGTGTGTGTGTGTGTGTGTGTGTGTATACACACCACATGAATGTCTGATGCCAAGGAGGTCAGAAGAGGGTATTGGATCCCCTGGACCTGGAGTTAAGGATAGTAGTGAGCCACCATGTTGGTGCTTGGAACTGAAACTTGATCCTGTTCCCTTGCAAGAGCAGCAAATCCTCTTAATCATTGAGCTATCTCTCCAGCCCCTATATTGAAATTTTTAAAGAATAGTTCAGAATATATAATACACTAGATGTTGTAGAAAATTTCATCTCCAGATGTAGTTTTGCATAATGGACTTTTGAAAAAATTGTTTTTGTCTTAAGCTTGCCTCAAATTCCTAATTGTATGTCAGCCTCCCAAGTTTACCACCTTTCCTATAGCTTCCAAGCAATATTTAATACTTAAAAGATTGCTAAGAATATTTTAAGAGATAAGTAACACAAGATCTGTATGGAGAAAATTGTAAAACATTTATTGGAAGTCACTAAAATCTGCTCAGCTGGCTTATGTGAAGACCTAGGTTTGATCTCCAGCACTTCAAGGAAGCTATTAAAATCTTTGCCATTTTTATTAATAGAAAATCATTTTACCAGATTTATCATTTACTTCAAGCTGATCATAGCCTGCATCTGGTTAGAATCAAACTCCTAGCACTGGCTAGAGATCTAGCTCAGTGACAAAGGGCAGGGCCCTGGTTTCCACTCTCAACACTGCAAAAACAAAATAATTTTCCAAAGAGTTTACAAATACCAGCTCTGAGAAGCCAAATCCAATTCTGTCAGTAGTGATCAAAGTCTGCTATGTAAATAAACTGTAGCAGTTGGGCTGGAGAGATGGCTGCTCCTGCAGAGGACCAGGTTCAATTCCCAGCACCCACTTGGCTGCTGACAGCCACCAAGAGCTTCATTTTCATAGGATCCTATACCCTCTTCTGGCCTCCACGGGTACTACATGCATATCACAGAAATACATTCAAGACAAACACCCATACATATTTTTATTTAAAAACAAAACTTATTTACTCAGCCCTAGGAAGACTGTATTGATTAGTACAACAGAGTCTTCAGTCAGGCTCATGCATAGCTGTGAGACAGAGAAAAGGTGACACATGTCCCAGACTTGGGCTGATAGAACAAACACGCTCTTAGTCACTATTTTAGGATAATAGATTATCCACACACATAAGCTCTTATGTGGAAGTCAAATCCTTAATAGAATAGGGCCACTTTAGATGGAGTAGTCATGGAGCTAAGGTTTCTGACCTTGGGGTAGGGAATGTAAGCTTGTGAAACACTGTGCAAACACAGTTATGTACCACCACACATGTGTGCAAGCCAGGGGACTCCTTCTAGGAGTGGTTCCTTCACCATGGGGTTGGGGACAGAATTCAGGTGGCCAGGCTTGGCAAGCATCTGCCCTACCTGCTGAGTTATCTTACTATCTCCAAAGTTTTTTTTGTTGTTTTTTTTTTTTAATATTTTTATATATATGGGTGTTTTGCCTTCATGTATATCTGTGTATCATGTGTGACTGAGTTCTAGGAAGTTATGAGCTACGATGTGGGTGCTGGGAATCGAACCCCAGTTCTCTGAAGAATAGCCAGTGCTTTTACCTGCTGATCCATTTCTCCAGTTCCAAAGATTTCGTAATTTTCCCAAAAGAAGAAGATGGCAACAAAATGGCCCAGCAAGTAAAGTGCTTGTCATCAAGCCTGGTGACCTGAGTTTGGTGTCCAGGGCCTGCAGTGTGAAGGAGGACACAGACTGGTGACTTCTACATGTGCTGTGGCATGTGTCCTCCACTCTCCCCCCTACCCCAAGAAGTGTAAAAACAGTTACAAGTCATCAAAGCTGTCATTTAAGACAGTGGAAGCTCAGAAACAGGCAAAAATACAATTTTTAAGTAGATTGTCACCAACTAATTTTACAAAGGGTGTGATCAATCCAGATTCTAACCTAGACTCCCGATGTAGGTAACACCATAAAGAAGTAGCCAGGTATGGTCATAAGCATGCATTAATGTTTGTATTCATTGTGCATTCATTCTTTAATATTCTGTTTTTTCTCTTTTTGTTTTGTGAGACAGGGGTTCTCTGTGTAGCCCTGACTGTCCTAGAACTCGCTCTGTAGACCAGGCTGGCCTCAAACTCAAGAGATCTGCCTGCCTCTGCCTCCCGAGCCCTGGGATTAAAGGCATGTGTCACCACTGCCAAAGTTGTGTTTGTTTCCTGAGATAGTCTCACACTGATGCCCAGGTTAGACTTACCATAGATAGCCCTATTGCCTGAGCCTCTCAAGTGCTTGGGGTTCGAGGTTAGCCACCAGTCTATGCTCTGTTTTTCATTTTATTAAAGTAACTGTAGACATTTTAGACTACCCTGAGTATGCAGATCAGAATGTGTTATAGTGTAAGGGTCAAACATGGGCATTCTAACACAGTATACATAAAAGTTTGTTTAAAATGAGACAAGTTTAATATCAGCCTTATGGTTTTTTTGTTTTGCTTTTTTTTGTTTTGTTTTTTTTAATACTCCATAAGATTATATGTTAATGATGCCTTTATATATTCCAGATGGCAGGCAACAGATTTTGAGTTTGGGTATGGACCTGCAGTTGGAGTGGATGAAATTAGAAGATTTTCAAAAGCATCTTGATGGGGAAGATGAGACCTTTACCACAACAAATACGATTCCAAGTAGTGAGTGATTGCATATTTGTCTCTTCCACAAATTTAGATTTATAAATTTAATGCACCTTTCTTTTCATTATAGATTTGTTGAGGGATGCTGTGAAAAATGGAGATTATATTGCTGTGAAGGTTGCACTGAACTCAAATGAAGAATACAACTTAGATCAAGAGGTACTATGTTCTTGGCAAGGAAATCTCACAAAAAGCATGGAAAATAATAGTTCTGACACAGTGTGGTAGTTCAGTTATTAGAAAAGTTAAATACGCCGGGCGTTGGTGGCGCACGCCTTTAATCCCAGCACTCGGGAGGCAGAGCCAGGCGGATCTTTGTGAGTTCGAGGCCAGCCTGGGCTACCAAGTGAG